ATAACTCCTTTCGTTCTTTTAAAAAAAGTATAAACAAGTATAGCAGCAGAACTACCTCTTCTAGCAACTGAGGATTCACAGGAGTGCAATATTCTGTTCTTCCTAATGTAATAACTCATAAAAGATGCAATATGTACTTTATTCTGTAAATAATATTAAAATAATTTCTGGTAAATTATGAAATAATAATTAAATATTAAATAATATTTACTGCTATTAAATAATATTTGCTGCTAAATAGTTCTTTCTGGGCACTGTACTGAAATCACACATGCACACCCACACCCACATATATGTGCACTGATAATACCAATATTTTTCTATATTAGAAGTTCATAAACTGCATGGTTATATATCATTTAACTAATTTAACAAAGAACAGTAGAAGGAACAATGATGCAATCTCAATCCGAGACTGATTTTATAAATGTCTGGCTTGATTCTAAGGTATATCAAGGAGCAGTTCATGGTTTTCTGCCTTAGAAATACTTGGAGATTTAATTATTCCATTCTTTAGTTTTATATGTTTTAACAAGTTCAAGTATGTTTTTTTCTTTTGTAGAAAGGATAGGAAAACTCTATTTTATGATACATTTTCTATTTGCTTTTTTATGTAAGTGAACCTATTACATTTCATTTGGAACAATAAACACAGCTGTTCACATAATCCAAAGTCTTTTATCATTCAAAAAGTCATTTTATTTTATAATATTAAATATTTATTAATATTTATTTATAATAATTAACATGAATAATGAATAAATGATATTTTTTCTGAGCATATACAACAAAAAGGTTAAATATATTTCAAAATACTGATCTGGAATTATTGACTAAAACAGGAAAATAGCAACTATAAAACTAAAAGCAGTAACATCTTAAAATGAGAAATCTGAATCCTTTAAAAAAAAAATTTATATAACAAATGAAAATTGGTGTCCAAAGTTGCACACACACACACACACACACACACACACACACAGAGTATGAACATAACATAACATGACATAAAAGGGTATGAGCCAGTTGACTTGAAAGCACATTTAAAATTTTCTGTCTCTTGCACAGAGGTGGATTTGTAGCTGTGCAGAGGCAGATAGATAAATTCCACAAAACATCCATAACAAAGTACATTTATTGGTACATCAGGTATCTTCATAACTCACATTTGTGACAAAGTTCTTCTTTAATGACCAATCCTTTGTATATCAGCCTTGCAGGTAAAAGATGGTTATCTCCTAACCCATCTCATAGCGGTAGAAAAAGCTACTATCAGGTCATGAGTCTAGGCAAGAATGGAGGGAAACCTCCCCTAACCCCTCAAGGGTCAATTTAGTGACCAATCAGAATTGCAGATGTGGCCATGTGACATGAACTACATTTCCCAGGATACCTTTAACTACATTTACCATGATGCATTCCCTTAAGGGGACAGCTCATAATTCCTAAGTAACTATCCAATTGCCATAGACTGGCTGGGACAGCACACTCCCCGCCTGGAATTGTAAATTCCACTATTAAGAGAAAAGGAAAAAAAACGATAACTAAGATAAGCAGTAAACAGTAATACTAACTGAATAGCATATAACTATATAACTAAGATAAACAGTAAGCTGTATAGCTAAGAGAAAAACAGTAAACATTAATAAAGCATCAAACAAAGCAAAACATGCAAAGCTTGAGGTTCAATCTTCATGTTCGGCCTCTTGGTGCAAGTCTGCTGGTCACCTCTGGTGGCCTTTTAGGTTGTACAGGTACTCTTGGCAGCAAAGGTGAAAGTCTGCTGGTTGCTTCTGGCAGCCTTTTAGGGTTGAAACGGTACTCTTGCTTCCACGGTGTCATAGGGCATCGGGAAGCTGTTGGAAAGGGTATTGCATATGCATATGCCCATGTAGACTGTCTTAGTGGACGTCTGGTGGTTGTTGGCGGTCGTTTAGGGTGTCCTAGCGAATGTGTACTGATCGGCGGCGGCCTTTTAGGCTGGAACGTCATTCTTGTTTTCAATGGTGCTAAAGGGCATCAGAAGGCTGCTGGATTGGATGGTGCTAAGGCATTTGCCTGGGTTGGAGTCTGCATCTGATCGACACTGACAATTCCTATGATTCCCCATCCTAGTGGAGATTTGATGGCCACTGGGCCGTCTACAGGGCCACCGACTGATTCGGAGAAGAGAAAGGCGCATGGGGCATTATTTCCCTGCAAGAGTAGGATATCAGCCTCCGGATCTAGAGCGGGGAAGTGATGAGCCAGGTGCTGTAGGTGAGGCATGTTGCTTATGACCTCAGGTGTTGCAATCTGGCTGCGGTCATTCGGTATCCCATTGCATTCAAATACAGGTGGTAGTGGGAACTGGGAACTTCCATCCAATGACTCTATGCAGAGTCCAGTAGCTCTCCTCCCCACCGTGCTTCTTGGTCCATGGCATGTTGATACAGTGAAGGGAAGTTTTTCTTGTTGCACTTCAAAGAGGTCGAAGAATACAGGTCTGGCCAGGGTGCTTTGAGTGTCTATCCGCACGTACATTTTCACAGCATCTTCAGGACGTCCTTCAGGGTGCACTTTGGCTAAATAGATGAGAAGACACGAACGAGGTTGTGGTGAGTTGGCGCACAGTGCTGTGCAGTTGACATTCAGCCTTGGTTGTGGTTGCAGTTTGGCAGTCTGTTGAGGAGCCCTGAATGCTTCTGTGTTATGTTGAGGCTCCTTGTCCGAGGGAGGGTTACGAGATATCTGCCATGGCAGCTCCGAGTCTGGATGCAGCACGGTTGGGTGCTGGTCACTATTGCAAAAGTCGCATTGCACCTTGGCTGTGGGCCCAAACCTTGATCAGTAACAGGCCCAGAGATCCACTTCCACTCAGACTCCAGCAAGGTGGCAATGGAGCACTGGTATGAGCTGGTATTATTAAAGATGAGCTAATTGGAGCTTTTCAGATTGAAGATGGCCTCAAAATCAACTCCCAAACCTCCTGACCATTTTTAGAAGGCCCTTTATTCAAGCAATGGTACTCGAAGCAGTCTGCATCTTTCAAGAAAACCATGATTTTTATGCTGGATGCTCCACTGCATGTATTGAAGTACTCCATGGAGTGTCTAGCTTAATGAAAGATGAAAGAATTTAATGAAAGATGAATTTAATGAATGAATTTAATGAAAGAATTTATTAATGAATTTATGAATTAATGAATTTTATGAATTAATGAATTTTATGAATTAATGAATTTATGAATTAATGAATTTATTGAATTTAATGAAAGAATTTAATGAAAGATGAAAGAATAATGGCACCTTCCTCATCTGACCTAAACTCTATTGAGAACTTGTGGGCCCTTCTGAAAAGGGAGATTTATAGTGAAGGAAAACTGTACACTTCTCTGAACAGTGTCTGGGAGGCCGAGGTTGCTGCTGCATAAAAAGTTGATCATCAACAGATCAAGAAATGACAGACTCCATGAATGACTATTATGACTATTATTGAAAAGAAGGTCACTATATTGGTCATTGGTTTTTTTTGAAATGTCAGAAATGTTTATTTGTAAATTTTGAGTTTTTTTATTTATTATTCTCACTTTAACAGATGCAAATAAATGAGTGAGATGGGCAAAAAAAATTTTCCATTTAGCTGCATAATAATTCTGCACACTAATAATTGCCCAATAATTGTGCACACATATTCTTCTAAGAAAGCCCAAACTTCACTTTTACTTTCTTATGTATTCAGGTTTAAAGTTCATTAACATTTTGGATTGACTGAGAGCACAATAGTTATTCAATAATAACATTAATCCTTCAAAATACAATTTGCCTAATAATTGTGCACACAATGTATAGTTAATCAAGTTTGAATGGGATATTTATGTCACATTCTAACCAAACAATTTGATCAAGAAAAAATCAAAACACCATCCCTATTTTATTTTGGTGAATATTTCAGTATGATTTGTTCTTCCAATAGAAACTTTTTTCATTCTTTAAAAAAGATGTAAACAAGAGTGGCAGCAGATGTACTTGTCCTGACAACTTAGTATTCACAGAAGTGTGGTTTTCTTGTTCTTTCTAATGTAATAATTCATAAAGTATGCAATATCTACTTAGTAATTCCCTTACCATCAAGAAAAACAGCATATTTATCAACATCATCTTTCAGTACAACAATATTGAATTTAACGAGATTCCCTAAGGACATTTCCAGAATGAAGATGTCTTCAATACATCTGACACATGGAAATCATTCAGGATTGCCACTTCTTAATACAAAAAGAAAACAGAAGATTGCTCCAAAAAAAAAAAAATGAATGCAAGGGTTCATTGCAACAAAACAAAACAAAACAGCTCACCTAAGCTTAAACAGAATACTGTATATATTCTATTTACGGAATTTCCACTACAGCCATACAAAAACCTGCTTTCCAAATTTAATAAATGTTGTCTTATATCTGCTATCATACCCTTATGTAGCAGAATCCTCTTTATCATTTTGGGCAGATCAAGTTACCTCTGAAAATATAAACTTTGCTTCCACAAGATACTCTGATAGTGATGAGTATAACACAAAGACACATATAAATATATGCATGAAACTTTCCAAAACCTTCAGTAGATTTTTCTCATTACTTGCTACCTGGCTTTTTATCCTGAAGTTCTAGGAAATAAACTGAAAGTCTTCTATCCCTAAAAGAGTGCCCAACACTGAGCTCTTGGCCCAGGAAAATTGTCAGGGAATTCTTAGTTATCATTACAGCTCTGAATTCCTGCAAAAATGACATGTTAACTACTGCTTTTGGCAATCCATGTACTTTTAAGAGCAATCCATGGAAGCAATGTGCGCACATATGATCCACAGAGAATTCCATCCAATTCCCCACTAATATTTAATGTTTTGTAGTTTAGATCACTTAAATAAACCGTCAGTTTAATGAATCTGTTTCAGCAAGAGCAGTGGAGAGCGTCTGACTTTTTCTTAATAAAACAAGAAAGGCAGTTGTTGTTGTATTTACTTACTGTTGGTTGCATAACATATGATGGATGGGGCATCCATGAAGTACTCTGAACCTGTGTACCAGAAAGAACAGTCTATTAGCTAAATGGCAAGAAAAAAAGGGGGGAATCAATAAATAGTCTTGCTTTGAAAAAAAATTAGAATAAAAACTTTGTGTTACATTTTGAAAATTTCACAATTTTAAATGTTTATAACTTATAATGATATCAGAGCTGGAAGTAATACAGGTATTCCTCAACTTATGACCAAATTGAGTCCAACATTTGTTAAGCGAGTTTTGCCTCATTTTACAACTTTTCTTGCCACAGTTGTTAAGTGATTCACTGCAGTTGATAAATTAATAATACGGTTGTAAGTGAATCTGATTTCCCCATTGAAATTCCTTGTCAGAAGGTCACAAAATGGGATCATATGATCCCAGGACACTGCAACCATCATAAATGTGAATCAGTTGTCAATCATCTGAATAATAAATCATGTGACCATGGAGATACTGCAATGATCATAAGTCACTTTTACAGTGCTGTTGTAACTTCGAACAGTCACTAAACACACTGTTGTAAAGTTGAGTACTACCTGTATTTTGGACATTAAAAAAAAGATCTGATCTAGTTGGACAGGATTGATACTGCTATTCAGTATTCAGCAATATCAAATAACACAAAGATCTGAATACTATCTTGTACTCAGGATCAAATACAAGGCTGATGTACACAGCAATTAATCGAGAAATTTAATGAAGATTAAATTGTACATGCACGACAATCGATATCACATATTATGACTAATACAAAGAAAGCAATATATATTACTGCAGGACCCAAATAATGAATGACTGGATGACTGACTGACTGACTTAATGAATGAATACTGTAAATAATTCTTTCCTGATGCCTTGAAAGGATTTAGCATAAAGTTATTAAGCAAGACAATTAGGGTTGACACTAAAATTTAAAAAATATTAAATGAGTTTTTATGATCAATTAGAGTGATGATTATCTCATATTGTATAATAAATAACAATCTCATGAGGAAGAAATATACAGATCCTATTTTGATAAATAAATTTCAAATTAAAACTACTCCAAAAAACAAAGAAATGTATTTTCTAATAATCCTAAACTTTTTGCAATTCTACTTGTTAAAAATAATCCTACTTTCACAGATCTTGTTTACTAATGCTATGGTGCTTTCAGATAACAAAGGGACAAATATCAGGCTTAATCAAGCTTAAAAAGACCAATAAATAATCAAATCAGACTGCAATAGACTTTGGATTACCTAATGTAACATAAATATATAAAATCCAAGGCCACTGTTTGCTTTTATTTCTTTCTGCAACTATTTCTCACTTTACAGAGCAGCAGCTATAATACAATTATCAGAACAACAGCATGATAACAAATTAAGGAATTATGCCAAGCCTGTTCCAATAACTTGTGGGGGATTATGTAATGGAGTCTACCATGCTAGCATGTAATATATTGTTCAAAACATTTCAAAATGGCACTGATATCAACCCTTTTTTGTTCTTCCCATCTGTTTGGAAGCCATTTTTATGATCATTTAAAGTTTTACTTGCTGTTTTTTTGGCCTTTACTGGCAAAAACAAGCAAAGAACATGCTTTAATCAACACTAATTAGTGTCTCTTCCAGTAGACCAACAAGGAAGCATCACTTATTTTTAAAACCTAATTGAGAATGTGTCCAGGATAATTGATGCCAGGCACATTGCCATGCGTACTCCAACGTGGGCTCCCCACCTCAGCCAATCCATCACTGATGTTTATGCTCAGTGGGCCCTCCACTGGTGCTCTCCCCTGACAATGGTCTGCTTACATTCCTGTCCCACCCTCTTGTTCCATCATAGAGAAACACTTGTACCTGTATGATCTGTTCTGTGGGACAATTAAATGTGCCTCTCAGCAGCCAGGTGGGGCAAGTAGCAGGCTTGGGCACTGGACGAGGAGGCAAGTGACTCAGGTTGCTGTGCAGGGCAACAGGCTGCACAAAATATCCAAGGACCCTTTGAAGCAGCAAAGAGGAGTGGGAAGCAGGATGGCTCCCTCCTCCAAGCTTTCTTGCTCTTCATGGGATGGGAAGAAAAAGGCCCACCCTGACCCAGGCCACTGGAGGAGACAACATGTGATTCGCATGTGTCAACCCCACAGAGTGCCCTAACAGCAATGCAACAGGACACCAGATGCTGCAGCAGCAGTGGTGGCGGCTGTGATGGTAGCAGCAGGCCAGCCAGTGATTGCAGCTGCTGCGGCCAGACTGCATTTGTAGCCATGCAGAGCTAGAGTCAGCCCACCTAATCATGCAGCTACCTCCATGCCTCCTGTCTACCCATCTTTTGTTTCCCCCCATGTGGGCCCCTTCCTTTCTGGTGTTTTTAAGCAGGGACATCTGCTTCAAGTTCCATCCAGCTTAGAGCAGGGATGTCAAACTGGTGACCCATGGGCCGGATGCGTCCTGTGCAGGCTAAACCCATCCCAGCTTCGCAAAGGGAAAAAAGTCGCAATATGTCACGTGACGGCAACTTGACGCAGCAAGTTTGACACACATAGCTTAGAGTATTGAGAAGAAAGAAAAAAAGGAAAACATATTCTATCAATTTTAATTACAATTTATGGTGCACTAATACAAGCATAAAATAATACATTCAAAGTTGAGTATAATAGTAAAAAAGAATCATTATCACAAGTTTTTGTTATGTTGTAGATACTTCAATCTGTTTACTTAATATTGAAGTCTCTATTGTATTGTTAACACAAACACTCGTTAATAAAAGAAAAAAATAGATAAATGGAGCAAATGGAAAAAGAATTACAATACAAAAGTGTGGAAAGAAAACAAGAAACAAGAAAATGGAATATTAAAAAGAATTTCTGAGTTTGTGACTGTTTCCTTTTAATATATTTAATATATTTTCTGATTCACAATATTTGTACACATTTAAGTCCTCTTAGAAATCAGACAGCATTTAATTACATTTGCTATGTTGTATGATATGTTATAGTTATGGGAACTATTTTGGCTTAAATTTAGTTAAACTTCTATTGTGTACATACTAGTATACTGTTAATTTTACCACTTCTGCATATTCTACAAGTTCCCAATCAGGGATTGTTGGAACTGTGTCATTCTTCCAGCTCAAGTGAAATTTATTGTTGCTACTGTTTATCTAACTGAATTAATATTTCTTGTTGATTGTTATTGATTCAGAGATCATATGTAGTATAAAAAGTTATGATTTCATTTCAAATTTAAATTCCAAGATTTTCTGCACTATACTATTAGTTTCCAGCACTTTTGAGGTTTTTTTTCATAGCTCTATCAGATGTGGTAAAATAGCCTTCTGACCTTTTTGAGCCTAGCTGAACATGTGCCTGACTGATTCCATATTTTCTGTATAATAATCTATCTTTCTAATGTATTGACACGAACAGTTGAAAATTCATTAGGCCAAAATTATAAAAATTAAAATAACTCAGCATATAATGAAAGCTTAAGCTAATGCCACAGGCTTTGCATGGAACAAACAAAATTTTGAGCTATTTAATGTCATTGTATAATCATTTTTATAAACATTATATAACTGTTTAATATGCCAATATGCAATTGAAGCAAGTCACAGATATGTGACTGAGTGAATTAACTGATATGTGTGTAATAGGCATGCCTTATTCCCTCAGCCCTGCCAACTTCACCTCTTACAGTGAAGTTATACTATAATTTAATATGTCCTCTTCATCTACAAAATATTCAGTGTTGGTTGAAAATATTATGCAAAGGCAAATGCATTATGATAATACATTTACAAACTAAAAGTTGTGACAACTAATCATTCAGTAAACTAACCAATATTTAAAAGTCAATCTAAAATTATTTTTACAAAAATATAATTTACTCTAGGCATGCTATGCTACTCATGCATTTGCTACTTGAAGCTCAGGTAGACACCTAGAAAAAGGGCGTTGGTACTTACCTGATACGCCCGTTCTCTGTGAGCTGTGAAGAGCATCCAGAAGTGGGAGGTGCTTCAGTCTCTTCTGGAAAGGCTGGGCTTAAAACTCCGGGATGCTCCTCCTCCTCCACGGGACACCTCCTCAGCGTCCCCCAGTTTTGCCAAGACTGAGTGCCAAAGTCCGGGACTCATCATCTAATCTAGATCCCTGACTGGAACGGAACCCCACCAGATGGAAAGAAATGGGTGGGGCTGGATGCTCTTCACAGCTCACAGCTCAGTTGTAAGTGCTGGTAACACCTTGTTGAGGTCCCAGGTGGGATAGTGGTGAATTACAGGAGGTCGTAAGTTTGCAGCACCCTTAAGAAAGCTGCGGACATGTGGATGGTGCACTATGAACTGGAGGTCACCCCAGGCTATCACCAAGGCTAAAGCCGCCACCTGTCTGCATAAAGTATTTGGAGATAGCCCCTTGGTCACCCCCTCCTGTAAAAAGTCCAATAATTGTCATATTGATGGGGCAGTTGAGTCGATCTTAGACCCCTGGCACCAGCAACAGAAAGCAGACCACATGGCCTCGTATATACAATTTGTTGAGGACCGTCTGGATGCTTGAATGGTGGCAATAGCATCCTCTGAAATCTGTTGGGCCCTTAAACGGCTCCGCTCAACCTCCATGTGGTTAGACTGAGACATTGTGGGTTCGGGTGAAGTATCGGCCCTTGGGAGAGGAAAACCTTTGACAGTGGAATTTTCCAAGGTTGTTCTCTCGACAGGTCCTGTAAGTCTGCAAACCACATTCACCTGGACCCGTAAGGGGCGACCAATATCAATTCCGCTCGTTCCTCCAATAACTTCTGGATCAACCTGAGTATTACCGGGAGTGGAGGAAATGCATATAGAAGTCCGGGAAGTCACTGACAACGCAGGGCATTGACGGCCTCCGCCCTCTGAGTCGGGTACCTTGAAATATACTGGGGCAATTGGGCATTGAGAGGAGAGCCAAATAGATCGATCACCGGTTGCCCAAACCTCCACACTGCTTCCTGGAAGACAGATGGGTGTAGGCGCCACTCTGCCTGA